GGAAAGATACTCGTAAAGCAAGATAGTACGACAATGAAGAACCAGAAGGCACACTATTTCGAAGAAGAGAATCTTCAATGTTTGCCGTAGAACGGATAAACTCGCACAGCAGAGCATTTAGGGCAGAAATGTATTCCAAAGCAATCCCCCAAACTGACTTCGAATAACGTCCTAAGGTTATGAAAGATAACCCTTTGACCCAATACGTCATCGCGATGAAGATGGTCATATTTACTTGTACCATTAACAAGATAATATACAAGGACTGACGATGACGAAGGCTCATATATGAAATGTTCACTAGCTTCCAGGCACACTTTATAAACAAAGTTATTTTTTAATGGAAAAAAAAAGCTGAAGGAACTGGACTTAAAACAATCCTATTCAATCACATATTTGTCAAGTACCTTTATGCCTTTATCTGCTTGAACGAAATAAATGTCCACGTACACAAGAGTCTATGGAAAGATTTGAATAAAAGTGTGACATATATTAACGTCGGTACCCTTATCAGAATCTCGTTATCATCGCAGTTGCGGAGCTGGGCAACAATGCGTAATTATGACCAACAGATTCAAATTGCTTCAAGAGCAGCAAGCGACCGAGAAATCTGTTCTGATATCATAATATGATTATCTCTCTCTTTAAAAAAAATTAAAATTACTTCTTTTTGTTGAACATAACATTCAGACAACGAGGGGCCGTTTTGTCCTGCAAGGTTGTCCCTGCACATCCACCTTTGAGTACAAATTAAAATTACTTTTTTTGTTGAACATAACATTCAGACAACGAGGGGCCGTTTAGTCCTGCAAGGTTGTCCCTGCACATTCACCTTTGAGTACAAATTAAAATTTAATTCCACTCTTTATTTTCAGATATTTATAGATTCACCTTTTAAACTTATGTAAAGTTCTGGCCTTCACTACTACCAGCAACAACTCATTTCTTAACCACCCAGCTAGAAAATTAAAACTATCTTAACTGGAGCCTAAACTGTTTTCTCCAAATCTTGAACTTGTGTCCTTTCTATTATATTCATGCAGAATATGTGCCATATCAGGTGTCAAAGACTAATATAACGGGTATGCTACAATATGACCAAAGTAATCTGTTTATTAAAGGATATCAATAAATACTATTAGCAAATTGTATTTAGTAAAGAAACTGTATGTCATAAAAAATAAAATAAAGGATATCAAGTAACATCATATCAATCAAGTAACGGAAGGACTAATACTTAAATAGTTACAACAACAACAACTGCCTCATAATAACAAAGTATGTGTAAGTCACCAACTATTATTGGATTTAAAGATTGTCCAATTTTGTAATCGCTTTTCTTCGGATCAGAAAAGCGTTTGAAAAGAAAATTGGACCAATTTCGTGTCAGCTTGTTGATTAAACCTGTTAGCCTGTATTTGCGATGACTTCTAAGCACTGTATAAATAAAAATAAATTCATTTTTGAACATCTCTCAATTTCAAACTAAATTATTCCGCATGCTAACCAATGTTGAATATATTGATTATACAACAGGGCTTTCCATATAAAGTTGGAGCTTTTTCATATTGTTTTAGGAACAATATTTTGTTGTCAAATGTAGAGCCATAAACCAGTTGCCATATATATATATATTCAAAATTTTATTAACGTTTGTAAGAAAACAAACTGAAACGTTTTAAGTTAAATAAATGTAAATGCTCAAACTAAGCCTAGTTGTAATTTGATCATTTTATGGTTGTGTCTTATGGAATATTTTTTAAAGAAATCTAGGGATGAAAAAATAACTTGTAGTACATTGTTTGTCTAATATGTTATCATTTTTCTTTTTGGAAAATAGTTTGACATTTTTCACGAATTAAAATGCAAAGCACGAATGTTTCTGGAGCTTGATCTGATTTTCGCGTGTATTGATTTTCTCTCTAATATATCGTAACATTAATGGTCATAAAAATCTTGAGCACTAGCGGCTACAAGTGGAACCAGATGGAATGTTAATCTAATACGTGTATAACACTGGTTTTCAGATTTAGAATGTTCTTCATTTTAAAGGGTCTTGCTCCATTATAAGGGTGTGTTTATACTCCTCGAACAACAGTTATATAAGTGTGATTATTATGGAAAACACGAACAATTTTAGCGTTGTCGAATTTTGTTTGTTCGTTTTGTTGTTAAGGTATTGAAACCTGATTTTTACTGTTAGTAAGCCACAGGGGTTATCAAATGTAATAAATACTAACTCTTGTAAATTTAGAGTGAGTGAAGGATGAAATCCATGTGACGGAAAACCACAAGTCTGGTAAACCCCCGCTTCTTTCTTCCGTTTATTTTAATTTTTTTCGTGTATCTCAGTGTTAGCTCTTTTTCTTGTATCTTGAGAAACAAGTAAATAAAATTTTAAAGAATTTTTCTTTGAACGTCTAATAATCGCATTTTCCACAAGACTTCTAATAACACTAGTTTTCACTATTGAGGTATAAAAATTAGGCCCTAAGAAAAAAACCTTTTAGCATTTCCACTGTATTAAAGGAATATCTTAAGTCTAGTAAGATTAAAAAATAGAAGCTAATATACCACATTTTTCGACGTCTGTAATAACAGTTTTTAGTCCTGATTAGGGCTGTTGTCCAGGTGAAAGAGATAAATTTTGCTCTAAAACTGAGGACTGTCGACGTGTTTATCTACATCAAACATGCACAAAACTTGCGCGTTTAGCTTACTCAGACTGAAGACAGGTAATCGTATTTATCTACAATAAACAAGTGCAGTCGTGTTTGTCTAAAACAAACATGTACGAAACTCGCGCGTTTAGTTCACTAAGACTGAAGATTGTATCAGTCGTGTTTGTCAAAAACAAACATGCACGAAACTCGCGCGTTTATTTCATTAAGACTGAAGCAGTCGCGTTTGGCTAAAACAAACATGCACGAAGCTCGCGCGTTTAGTTCAGTAAGACTGAAGACTAGCAGTTGTGTTTGTCTAAAACAAACGTGCACGAAATTCGCTCGTTATGTTCACTCAGACTAAAGATTGTTTCTCTGGATCAGGATTTAGATCCTTTTGTCATGATCTGGGAAGGTCAGGCACTATCGAAGACCTCTTCCTCCCTCCTCACAGTTGTTTTAATCATCGTGTAATATACACCATCGTGTGTGATAAATATTAAACGAATTATATGCGAGGGTTGTGCACCGTTTATAGCCTTTAGTTACAACAACCCCTTTCAAA